CAATCAATCAATAGCGAATGTGCAAACTGTTTTTTACATCAGCAATGAACCTGATAAAGAACCATTTACAGTTGAGATTCTTAATGCTCAATTGATTTGTAGGAGAGGAGAGTTAGGATCCTCAAAATACATGAAAAAAAGGGGAGAATTTCAACGCAATTAGGTTTGACTTCTCTTCATCCAAGGAAACTTTTTCATTCATATTCGTGTCACATGTTAAGCTAACATATGACAAATAGCACACCAAATATGACCCTTTTCCTGCTATATGAACATAGTGGAACTTCTTGTGCAGAGTATGAATAGCAAAATGACATTATTAGCAAGAAAAGAAAAGGAGGAGGAGAATATGGGACCCTTTTCCTGCTGAGTTCGAAGCTATACAAGCAATTTAACCTTGAAAGTTAGGAGAAACTAGAATAACAAATTAAGGCTCCGTTTGTTTCACGGAAAATGGGTGATTTAAAAAATATTTCCTAAAAATGATTGCTTATATTACTTGAAGTAATTAGTCATTTAAAAATATTTTTATCAGCGACAACAATTTATGTTTAAATATTTTCGTGGATAATGGAAAATATTTTTCTATTCATTCATTTTTATAAGCGATCATTTTTTGGAAAATGTTTTCCAAATTATTAATTTTTTGCGAAAGAAAAGGAGCCTAATAAAGAATTAAGACTTCAATGGATTAAACACACATTATTGGAGTAATGAGTTCTTCCCCCTTAGCAATCAAGAAATTGATTTAGTGGTTTTAGACCACATCAGTGATTAATTTATCCAAAATTAATTTTTGAACTACCAAAAATTCAAAACTAGTACATTTGTGACAAATTTTCCTTCTGTTAAATTGGATTAATATCACAAAAAACCACAGATAATAGGGATGGGGATAATCACATCAAGGAGCGATTGGACAGGGTACTGTGTACTATAGATTGGTGAGTTTGTTTTCCAAATGCTGAGGCATATGCTTTACCAGCTATAGGATCAAATTACAGTCATTTAGTATTATCCTTATTTCCCGAGCTTGCGAAAAGGAAGAAGGAATTTAAATTTGAGGCTTTTTGGCTTGACCACGATGAATGTGGAGATACAATTACAAGGGTTTAGCACTCGGCTGATTTGGAGAATGAAGATTTGTTGAAAAGACTGAAAGCGGTGACCTTAGCTCTCACTAAATGGAGCAAATCAAAGTTCTCTAATGGAAAGAAGAAAAATTAAAAAATGATTACAAAAAAAGTATCCACGTTAGTAATTTCCGGCTTAAGTTGGTCAGATGGACTGAATTGGTACTAATGCGAAGAGGTTTAGGACTAAATTGATCCAATTGAAAGATTTATAACTGAATTGGTACCAATGCAATAAGTTTAAAACTTCTTTATGCTTTTCCCGATAAGTTTGAATAACCGCTAGTGTCCGGATAAGCTATCCGAGTTTCATTCAAACTTATCTGAGCTTACCCAAATTCGAGCATGTCTTGAAACACCAAATATGATAATTGTTATCTTATCCGACATATTAACTGGGCAACCAAACACACCCCACGGGTTAAAAAAAAAGGTGAGCTCAACAATAATGAAATTCACTTGAACGCCCCTTAATTGCAAAGCTTTTAAGACGTATGTGTTTCACCAGAAAATGCTCCCGCGGCGAAATATAATTCACCGAAAGTCGTTCTTCGGTTCTTAATGTGAAGAGACCGGGTTCCGTGGCGACTCCGGACAGGAAATATCCAGGGAGACAAGGAAAAACGGCGACCTTTTACTCCGAACTTCGAACCGGACTATATGTACAAACCGTGTCGGAATTTAATCGACAACAAAGCTTGAAAATACAGCCGCACACGTACACAAAGATGTACCGCCGGAATTTAATCGACGATACAACACTCGGGATAGAGATACACGCCGGAATTTAATCGAAACTACAGCTAAGGAAAGATAAAGTGCGGTACATGAAAGTAAAGATAATTGAAAGATAACATGTTGTTTGATTTTTGTCGGTGGTTTTCTCTCCAGTAGATGGCCAGTGATATTTATAATGGTTGTGTAGTAACTGCTCTTTAGCGGTTTTCAACGGTTGTGCCCATGTTCTTCCATTCCGAAAATCTTGCCTTCATCTCCATGTGATGCCATGATCCTGCTTTCAAGATAAGTGTCCCACGATCTTGTCTTGACGGTTTATTCGACTCCACTACGTTGGCGGTTGCTTCTTCTTTCTGCATCTCCAACCAGTCACAACCGTCGACTTCCTCTTAATGTCGAAAAATCTACAGTGATTTTCTGAGTAAACTCAAAATATAAAAGTTGTAGATCTAGGAGTTTTCGTTCTTTTGGCTTTGGAATCAGATCAATCCGATCTGTCTCGAAGAAGTTATGACCATTTTCCCGAACTAGCGCAGAACTGAAATTTCGTCGAAGTCCTCGACAAGATGAAGTCACGACCGTCGACTACAGTGATTTTCTGAGAAAACTCAAAACATAAAAGTTGTAGATCCAGGAGTCTTCGTTCTTTTGGCTTTGGAATCAGGTCAATCCGATCTGTCTCGAAGAAGTTATGACCATTTTCCCGAGCTAGCGCAGAACTGAAATTTCCTCGACAAGATGAAGTCACGACCGTCGACTACCTTTAACTTCGATGGATTCTACAGTGATTTTCTGAGAAAACTCAAAACATAAAAGTTGTAGATCCATGAGTTTTCGTTCTTTTGGCTTTGGAATCAGGTCAATCTGATCTGTCCCGAAGAAGTTATGACCATTTTCCCGAGCTAGCGCAGAACTGAAATTTCCTTGATGAAGTCGTGACCAGTCTTGTCAATAATACCCAAAAATTGGTCATTTTTGGGTGTAAATATATATACATGACACATGTCATTTATGTTGGCAACTTGATGATATTTGCTTCCACGTTGCCTCGAGTCTCTGCCATGTGTCCCTTGATGATCTTTGACCATGATTGAACCATGTCGACAAGTTGGCCATTTTTTTGTGTAAACGGTATGTGATGGGTGTAGACCAAATGCTAGGAAAGAAACACTTTTTTTTTGTTGCCAAACTTCATGTTTAAGTTCTCCAGAACCAGTTCTTCAAGACCAATGAATCTCAGTCTCATGCACACCGCAATAGCCAAAAAAAGGAAACCCACCTAACATGTAATCCAAGACTAAGAAATCTCAGTATAAATGGAGGACGTCCTCACATGACATTTCAGTACAGTCATATCATTTGATACCTGTCATCATACTACACAGAAATTTTACCAGAACAGCTGAGTTCATCAGCAGCATTTGCTTTGGTTTTGGTTCTATTGCTGGGAATGTGGTTGCAACCTAATGACGCAGGAAGGATGCTCATTAAACGCGAGGAAGGAGATGAAGAAGCAGTGCGGGCTAAGTATCAGCTGAGCGGTCTTCTAGCTTTCTATATCCTGCCAAAGGGTAAGACCCCCCCTCCCGGAAATCGTTGCGGCTACACTCCGGGCGGACCACAGCGGTGCGCGCCAGTAACAGGACATTTATGAGTTCTTCCCCCCTTAGTAATGAAGGCATTGATTTAGCGGTTTTAGAAACCCGTGACTTTGTGGGTTCTAAGCTTATATTATGACTTTCATTTGTTAGGCTCAAGCGAGCAACATCTCATACCCTAGGAAATCAGTAAGGTCACACGTTTACGTACATGTTTGGTAGAGGCAAACGACACGGATTTGATTTTTGCACACCAATGACTTGAAAACATCATCATTTTTTTTCTCAATAATATTCACTTGATTACAATCATGCATCTTAACTGATTCAAAAGTAAGCAGAGTATGTCATGAATGAATGTCTACTCATTTAAGGTAGAGTTCTTAAACTCAAATAATGACCAAAGAGAAATGCTGGGAAACAAAAAAAGAAAAAATTGAAATAAATGCCTATAAAGACCGACCAAATTTGAAATTGATTAAGGGAAAGAAAGAAATCTGTGAAAAAATCGAAGCCCGACATTTTTAGCCAAAGGTGGCAGTTCCTAATACAACATAAGAACAAGATTTGAACAAGATATGAAATGATTGAGAGAAGTCTAAAATTGACCCGACCCGACTTAACTTGAAATTCATACCAACTCACACATTTTCATCAGGTTTTGATGAGAAAGCACTTCGTAATCAAATTAAAATAATTCAATAACAGTACGGGATGACACAAATAACCTATACGGCTGTACCGCCACGAAGACAATTGCTGGCTATACTCTTTTTTCTTCTGTCATAATTAACTTGATTCTGCCGGAGCCTTATCAAAAGCTCCATTAATTAGAGCGAATAATCGCCACCACGGTTGATTGTCGCGACGAACCCGTTGAAGCCAGCACCGGCCACTACAAATAGCTGACGAAATATCTGTCGGGATAAGAATCGCTATTGATTTTTTTCAGTAATGCTCCGTTTTATAAATCCTTTTTTCTTTGGCTTTAATCTCTCTTTCATATATCCTTGATCGAGTAAGAAGCGAGTCGAAACTAGGTGACCGGTTCAAACATGAATCGGATCTCACTAGTTGACTCAGTCAACGTAGCCAAGATGGTCCCTCAACTGTTAAGTTCCTAAGCTTGACTATTCTTCTTTTTTTTTTTGACCACTCTATTTCACTAAGTAGATTTTCCGGTTTTTTTTTTTCTCCACAAAAATCCTTTTTCCTACCTTTTATGACATTGCCCATATAAAAGGAATTGGAAATGAAAAACATAATCGGTGTTTCAAGCTTTAAAAAATTATGCATGATTTAAAAGTCAATATGTACATGTTTCAAAAGATTTCACGAGTTTTACGTTAAATAAATGACAAATTACGTTTGTACAACCTTCGGGGCAGGTTCTTGGCACGTCGGTGCGAAACCGATTTCGGTGGAAAAGTTGGCTTGGACCAAATTCAAGATTGATTAAGAGGAGAAAGAAATCTACGAGAAAAGAAAAATCAAAGCACCACATTTTAAGTCTAAACTTGATCGGACTCTATCCAACCCGAGTTAACTTGAAATTGATACCAACTCATGCGTTTTCATCAATTCTTGATGAAAGAATATTTTGTAATCAAATGACCACAGTTTTATAACAATACGGAATGACTCGAAAGAGCTATGGAGATATACCGACACGAAGACAATTGCTGGCTACACTCTTTCTCCTTCTGTTAAAGGATGAGATCTTCAAGAATATGGCATGTACTGGTAACAAAAATAAGTATATTAACCTAAGTAGAGCGCGCGCCGTGCACAGGCTTCCTAACTAGTGTTTGCTCAAAGGCAAGAAAGGTATCTCATTCTCACAACTCCACCTTCACCTCAGCAGCATTGTCATTCAGGGGCACACAAAAACTTCCTGCATACCTTTGTTGGGCGCAGCTTCGTTCTCCTAGATTTCCGGTTTAATCTCAGACTTTCTTGGCAGTGTTTGAGGGGCTGAGGTTGTCAACTAAAGCTAGCACGGAAGAATGCCATCCCCTTAGAAATCAACTCAAACCAGCCATCTTGTAGTCAAGCTGACTCTAGATGATCAAACTACTATCCCTTGGTCTCTTCTCACCCTTCAACTGAACTGAAAGAAGTAGGATCTCAGTTCCCTTTTTCCAGAGTTCTGCTACACAAATCGGACCCGAAGCATCTCCATTCTGCTCGCCATGTACTTCATGGTTGAAGCACCTGAAACAATAATTTCCAGGATCCACATCTATGTTTCGATTGCCTCATCATTGCCATATACTAGCTTCACCTAATTCACCATCTGAAAATCCATCCATCATTTCTCTTCCATCTGCATCGCGTCTATGGCTTTCCTTCTCTACCCAGCAAACTTTTGAGAGCTATTGGCTTGCTTCCTGATCGTCCTAGAGGCTGAATTTATTTGCTTCTGCGACTTCTTGGCTTTACTCATGAGATAAATGTAGCGATGCCTCATACCCATCAGGGGATGCCGCTCGACCAAGAAATCCTTCCTGTAAGCCTCCCTGAGCACCACAGTCTGGGTCTTCAACTTATTGGAGATGTAAAAGATGCCCGGATGGTGAGCCAATACCTTCTTGAACCGTGTTCCGAATCCCATATACTCCCCCCAGCAAAGCAAGTTGTCCCGTTCTGTCTTCTTTGACAGGAGGAGCCACAGCAACTCGTGGAGGACAGCCACCATCCACTTCTCGGCCTGATCACCACTGGGCGCCAGATGGAAAGCATCCTCATAAGGTGATATGTAGGGTAAGTCCTGCCACTGATCAACCCAAGCCTTGACCCTCTTCTCCAGATCGAACCCTCTGGGGAAATCCATCGAGAACCTGATGCGCGTCCCTGGTTTCCCATTAAAGTCCCTGTCTTTCATCCTCTCCTGCAATGCTGACACGGCCAGCTCGTCCTTCCAGGACACGAGCTCCAGCACAAGCAATTCTTTACCCGTGGCCTCATCGTTGACAGCACGAACGTTGAAGTAATCGGGGTAATCAGAGAGGAGGTCAGGGACATAATTAGGAGGCAAGCCCAAGTCCCACCGGAACTTATCAATGATGTGGAAGGGCAAAGCCGAAGACCCAGCGAGCATCAAGAGCTTGGCGAGGCGGGAGGCGGCAGAGTGGCGGAGGGGCGGGGAGAGGTGGAGGACGGACTCTTGGCGGTGGAGGGAGAGGGCGGAAGGGGTGAGCCTGACATGGAGAGGGAGGCCAGGGCTGGGCTGGAAGATGGTGAAGATGGAGGGGTATTTGAGGAAGAAGGAGGCAGCGGTGGAGGCGGTGGCGGAGGAGGGGAGGTGGAGGAGGGAAGCGGAGGAGAGGGGGAGGGAGAGGGAGGGGGAGGAGAGGATGTGGTGGAGGAGAGAGCATAGGGGCTTGAGGTCTTTCTCCTTCTCGACGGCAGCGTCCAGGAACGGATCACGAACCCATTTGACTCGGGCGTCAATGAATAGCCGGGTGGCCTGAAGACGATGAGCCAACGGCAGTTGAGGAAGCTTATACAGCTTACTCTGCAGGACCCAATTCATTGCTAATTGATCTACTACAACTAAATATGTAGAAAAGATGCAATTCCCACAATTTTTTTTCACATTAAGAGACCAATTCTGGCCGGCTTCCTGACCGGTAGCTTCTCCCCTCTTCTCAACATCTCAACTCTCTCAACAGCACGCACTGGAGTGACATCTTCCTGCAAAATGAGATATAATAAGCGGTAAATAAGAGGGAATACTTGCTAAAACGTTTGAAAGAGTCGAGCAAATGAGAGAATGTATAGTGTGGACCCACATAATAATTATATCCTTCAGATCCATTACTAATCAGCAACGGTGGTCATGGCAGCATTCAACACAACAGCCCTGCAAAAAAAAAAATATTTTTTCCTTTCAATTATACATAGCATACAAGCAATAGAACACATCAAGAGAAATAAAAAAAATGCTAGTATCCTTATACAAATAATTATACTTCTGTGACCCCAACCTTTGCAACCCACCCAGATATGCTGGCCTCATCCTATCTATTATATTCATACTGACAAATTATCTTACTCTTCAACCAAAAATAAAATTATCTTTACTCAGATAGAGTTCTCCAAAAGATACAGGAGGAATAAGTGAAGATGTAAATAAACACTGACCAAGCAACCCATTTCTCCAACAGAGAACAAACCATCTTTGGTCAATTCTGCGGATCAAAAAAATGGTGAAGTTGTTGAGATATATCTAAAAAAATTTTACGGCATCCAAAAAATGTTAAGCAGGAATCATGACGTTATTGTGCTATCACTCCCAAGTGTTTCATAAGGCTTCTTCAATGGCACGCGAGCCACAAATCATGCAAGGACTTGTGCCACAGACCAACAGGTAGTACTAGCCCACCTACAACACCCATATCACAAATGAGGGAATGACCACTTGATATTGCCAAGTGCATACAGGACCTTTGTTTCTCACCTTTGTCTGTTTAAACATTGAGTAAAAGGTTGCAACTTCACACACACGGATAGTTGCGACTTCTGTGATCTTAGCAACCTGAATCAAAAGAACATTTTCCATATATCAATTTATGTGACAGGCATATTTCCATAGTACAAAACAAAAGTTGATCATGTTTCCCATGAATATCAAAGCATTAAATGCGTTCTGTGATTAGATGTGGACATGATGAAACTGCAAGGCACATATAACAGGTTGAGACCAAGCATGAGAAAAGGAACCTAAGCACAACAAAGGACACAATGCTAGCTTTTGGAAATAGGTTCCAACCATCTCTCCCAAGAGAGTTGACTACTTGTTTTTCCTTTTTTCCCATTAAAAAATAGAACCAAGTACTTGTTTGCAACTCCTGCTGAAAACACAATAGTACCTATGGATACACAATACAGAGGAGTTATGCCTTCTCTCAATGCAGTCGTGCACTCATTCCACTTGTATGTACAGACCACATCCTTACCTTCATGTTAGAAGTACAATAAACTAATGCAGTATTCATTTGAAGAAATGCTCCCAGCATCAGATATAGTAGCATCCTAGACAACTAAACATCACATAGCTTTCAAAAGACAGAGCTCAAGCATAAAGCAGTTCTGTTCTTCCCACGAAACTTTCCTTATGATTAAATGTAGTAGGCTATAGCAAGAATGTCAAATAAGTAAAGCGTAAACAGACAATCAGTTTAAAACTTTAAAACTGAATCTTAACCCACGAGATTGAGATCCAAAGTTACCCATCACAAAAGCATGAAATGAGAACTGCAAATAAAAAAAGAAGGAAAAACGTAGTGAACAATCAGAGTTTCTTCCACTGATGAGCATTCATGTTTGTTTAAGGGTAACTGCCTCGATAGTCAGTGTATTAATGCTAAGACTTCAACCCATGTAAGTAAATCATAAAAACAAGCCAGGACCAGCTCTTCTATTTCCAACAGAGACAATCTTTTTGTGATTTTTGCCAGCTAAAAGTTATCCTAACATATAATTAATTCAACCGAACTTAGTACAAATTTGATTGTGTAGAGAACTTGCATCTTCGAATTCTGCATGAATGTACTTTTGTTGCTATGTTTCACTCAAATGTAAGCTCATTGATCAAGTGGCATCCAGAAAAGCGTCTTCTGCCTATGTTCAAGCTTATTGTCCAAGGGACAACCACAAAAGCATTTTTCGTTTATGTTTCATTTGGTCGCCGGGATTTAAAGTTAGATAGGAAGGATTGGACGAGAAATCTCGCTAGATCTGTTATCTCCAGTCTTCCACTAGGAAATATACCGGAAATAGCAGTAGATATGGCCATATCCTATCCGGTAGTGTATTTGGTGAACCAAGGTCATGATAATAATAAAGTATAAGGGAAAATAAAAAATCTAGTCTACTGTGGCCGGTGCTGCTGCTGCTGCAGTGGTCACACCTATTGTAGTGGTCGTTCAAGACCACCGTGACATCCACACACACACACATAACTGTATCTAGGATTTCATCCGGACTTATCTGGGCTTAACTGATCTAGTGGTGCAGCACTAAGCGCCAGAACGGTAACTTTTATCCTATTTGGCTTCTCATCTAGAAGACCAAACATAACCTACTGCTTAAGGGTATCCAGTAAGTTAGATGGTGGCTATCAAGATCAGGCATGAAAAAGGCATGCGGACCAGACCACAGGATGGATATATACCCAAGTAACCCAACAAGCTACCCATGCAGCCACAAAGGCATAAAAAATGATTCCTGGACATAAAGATTTACAGATTTTCCAGACGCATATAGTGCTAAGATCTGACATTAATTGCAATTCAGAAGTATATGCACCATAAATCATAATCAAAATATTCCAAAATCATAGCATCTGAAAAGGAAAGTGAAGCTTTGGCCAAGCCCAAATTATAAAAAATGACTAGAGCAGTTAGCCTGATGCATTTATTTATTTCGAGAAACTCTGAACTTTCACTTTTTCTTGAGATACTTCCCAGTTATGGACCCTAGGTTCACAGGAACTAAGCAAGTTCAAAGAATGGTAAACATAGACAAAAATACAAAAACTGGTCCTATCATGCAAATGTCAGTACACACACTGCAAGATTGATAAGCAGAAACAAAAATTTTCAGTAAAATACAAAACTTTGGGATATGATATTTTCTTTTTGGGGAGATTGCCTTTCACTTCCCGTTCTATCTAGATAATGCAACTCTTAATACATAAAAATCTACAATATAAGAGAAAGAGACACCTCAAGATTGCATTTCAATGAGCCTTTTATACGAATCCATTCTGATGCCTTTAGCGTATCAGGAGCAAGGAAAAAATCTCCAGATCAGGCATAGAAAAAAGTGTAGTGGGACAAAAACATCTCACAAACTCTTAAAGCTATAAATAATCACTTGGGGTGCTAGCAGATATACAGAAACATAATGATGTCAGATGCATTCTGTCTCTGGAAAGAGTCGCTAAATTCTCTTTTAGAGAAGACGTGTATGTAGACATAGCATGACCAATCAAGAAACTTCTTTGCAAATCACCAATAGCATACCTCTTTCATTGCTGAAACTGGAAGCCACCCTCCATGCTGCTGTTGTCGAGATCAAGCAGGGGGACAACATCTCCTTTACCTAAAGAAACATGAGATGATTTTCTGACACATTCAGTGAACAACTAAATAAAATGCCTGTGAGGAAATATTGACTGCATCCAAATGGATATCCAAGAGAAACTCTATTCCTTCTCTTACAAGCTGGAAAGAATTTCCAATTATGTCCACTCATGATACCTGAAACCATTATTCTCTAGAAAAGAAATCTCAAAAAAAAATCGAACCTCTGGCAAATATCCCTCAAGATGAAATGCGGTAAGATAATGCATACACTATTTGAAGAAAGGGAATGCCATTGCTGGCCATGTAAACATCTCTATGTCAGAAAAGAGAATGTGCTACTGCTTTGGCTTTGAAATTGAAACCAGTAGAAAAGTACATAGTTCTTCATCCTCCTTTCTTGGGCTTAAATAATTAGGCAGCCAGAACAATGATCCTACACCCTCAATTCCCCAAATCTAAACCGAAACACCTATGGAATGAATCTAATGATATAGACCTGTTGAAATTGCATCAGGACAATAAGGTGCAAAGCACCTCCAACGACAATAATGCCGTTACAAGGGGCCATCCCTTTTTTCTTTCAAGAAACTAATCAATTATATAACAGAAGCATCAAAAGAAGATTAACGGTAGCAAATTTCACACATGATGCTGTGTCAGTAATGATTTTTCTATCAAGAGGTGGGGCAAATATAATTTGTGTAAAGGAGCTAGTGCTTCGTCCAAAAAGTCCAAGAATCACCCATCTTGTCCAAGAAAAGCTTAATTGCGACAACTTCAACAGTTCCAAACGCAGAGTAGCAGCGGAACTCATAATTCGCATCAAATGAACCGGCAAGACGCAACTACCAGCAGAATCTAGCAGAGGCAATGAAGTACGGGTTACCTGTATCATGGGCACGCCTGACGTTTCGTTCTAGACCGACAAGAACAGGCCCCCACCCAACAAACCCAACACACCGGCACGCTTGCTCAAATCTCCCTCAGCAAGAAACTCTGCTCCTCCAACGAAAACCTGGGCATCGAAGACATGAAACATATCGTCCAGCAGTCACTCTAGCACTGGCAAGAAAACCATACGGCGGCATCTCTTGGAGGCGCTCGGTCGCCAGGCGAGAGAGTGTTCTCGGAGGAGGCGCTCGGTGGATCCCGCCGTCGTTTTCGGGTCAAGCCGGCATGATCCGGCCCGGCCCATTGGACCTCGACTTTTAATTCCCTTTTTATGATTCGGGTCGGGTCGGGTCTCGTCGCTACCGAAATGCGGCGTTGACGCTGCTGTCGAGCCTGAGAAAGAAAAAACACGCTATTTGTCGAGCTCTGATTGGTTGGGTCACGCAGTAAAATCGACCCGCAGAGGTAATAATATCACGCAACAGAATCCCCAAGCAGAGACCCTAAAGTTTTTTTTTTTTCTAATGCGGTGGAGGCTAGCGGCGGCGGAGAGTAGAGCGAGAAGAGAGTTATGTGGGAAGATTAGAGCCTTTTTATTTAAATTCACGTGTAGATGATCCACACGTAAAGAAAGGCGAATGGACAATTTACCCCATTTCTACGTTGAGGGCTACATCCGATCTCCTATTTTGGAAAAAATTCTTCCCTATATGTATTTGGTGAATGTGTGAGCCCAATTGATTTCAGTCGTCAGACCATGTGAGTTTCATACAAGACTCAAATTATTTCATGAGTGAAATCGATCGGGCTCAGATCCCATATCTCGTCGACCGACAATTTTCCATATATACAGTATAATTGAGACCAACCAAAGCAAGAATTGGTCTCTGCTTTTTGTTCCCCATTTAGTAATCAGAAGAGAATTGCATGACGGTGGAGCTTTTCAACCGAGTTTGCTTTCAATCCAAACCCGACAAAGGACTTCAACATCAGGAAGAGCTATGTCAAAGGCGACGATTATCTCACTTTTCGTGCTATAAAGCAACTGTAAGGGCTGCATTCTTTTACCCGCTACATCACATTAAACCCAAACTCGATTCCCATCCTTGAATCTTTCCCGCTCGAGGGGGGGAAAGTCAAAGTCCCGATTCAACTTTGACTTTCGATCTTCAAACAATACGTGTTCAGCGCCGGTCACGATTCACGATGGTCAAACAAAAAGCCAACTCTATGATTGTCATGTATGGAGGTCAAAGAAAGTAGGATCAGCAAAACTTTGAGTCGAAAATACTTGTACCCGAAGACAACCCCGTAAGATTTTCTTGGCGCTTGCAGATGTTGCTGAAAGAACAAACACCCTCACCAGAGAGAAAATACGTATAATGTATATCTTAATGTAGAAACGCGTACCAAATTCTGATGGAACTATCATTGGATTGTCGCATAGTGTTCCAGAAACCCTAGAACTATACTCATTTTAATAAGGAATTGTCTTCCCTGACGACCAGTTCAAATCCCGCTTCTTCCCTCTCCATAACCAGTGAAGTCAAATTCGAAAGCTGGTTCTCCATAACCGTGGTCGTCAAGGATTCAAAACTCCCAGGCGCGTTCAACAGGTTTGATCGAGAGAAGAAGAGACGAAGCAATTGCTGGCAGCTTGCCAATGGCACGATATAAATATGAGACCTCCTCAGACACATTCTCTTCATCGTACACACAGATAGACACACAACTTGCAGCAACCAAAACAGAAGAAAGTTTGCAGATTGTTAGAAACCAGCCAAAGGATGATGAAGGTCCTATCTTCAAAAGTAGCAGCTGTTGTGATGGTTTTGCTGTTCTTGATGGGAACATTTACGAGACCAAGCGAGGCGTGCCGGCTTCTTAAAGGCCACGTACAAGCGCGGGCTGGTAATAACGAGCCGAGTCTAATTGTTCTCCAGTCCCTACAAAAGGGTTCGACCCCGTGCACCGGGAACTGCAGCGGTTACACTCCCGGAAGCAGCACCACCGCTAGCACCACCGGCACCAAGGCCTTCGCGGGCCGATCAGCCGTGGGCATCCCTCCCTGTGGTTCCTCCGATCGCATCCCTCGATCTGGTGTCGCTGCCAATCGTAAATAGTTGGTGCTCCATGTAAAGGACACTTGTGAAGGAAATTGAGCATTTGTAAGTGGGAGAAAGAACCGATACACAGTTTACAAGCACAAACAAATTATTCTTTTTTTATTTCGTTTTTTTTTTGAATTTTCAGATGGATAATTTCCATCTGTTCTGGAATGTATAACCTGGGGAACCTTGTTTAATTTGTTCGATTTCATCTTCCAAGCCTAATGAATTTGTTCGTAATTTTTTTAAGTGCAAAAGGGGGGAAGTGACTACCCCATTTTGTTAGCAATTTTGTTTTCCGTTGTATTGTCAATTTGCGATTGATGAAGGACCCGAGTATTGTCGAAAGGGAACCAAAGCGAATGTTGCGTAACCAAGGTTAAACCTAGAGGAATTTGATGGGAGGACAACTTTTGCTTATAATAAACTTACATATGTGCTTCCTACGCAATACAACGGAGGTTTGGCAATTCATATTCATGCGTTATAATTGGTAGTTTCTTTTTCTCGTGCCTAATATTGAATTGCAAAATCTGTTAGCTTTTGTGTATATTCGGAGCTGTAAACTTGATAAATTAAAACTAGATGATAATCTAAGTATAGAAAAACTGTTGAGCCGCACATATAAATTTGGCAAAATTCAAATAAGAATTGATATGACGTTTGTAAAGGAGACAAATAAAAGTTGATAAACATTAAAAAAAAGTTCATAAATTAATGAAATCAAAGAAAAGTTGATAAATAACTCGAATGAGAGTTAGTAATCTACAATTAGGTTGGTAATTTGATTGGGGAAAATTGATAAGTCACCCACATAAATTAGTAAATTCTTATGAGAGTTGGTAAATTTAAAACGATGGTAAAAAGGACAAACAAAACTTAGCAAAAGATAAGAATGTTGATAATTAGTGAACTATTAAAAGGAATTAGTAATTTCATAGACGTGCCAGTAACTTATCAATAAGTTACCGGGAAATCAAGTCATCGGTAACTTTTTATTCTACCAGCATTTTTTGGATACTCTCCCGTTCTTTCAAAAATTTACAAGCACAGCAAAAATGCATCCTCAGGAGCAAAACCCAGAAGACCTACCATCGAACTCAAGAAAAAACTTGCATTCAACAACTAATAAATGTTCCAACTCAAGCATAGAATTATGTAACTGGCTCCTCTACAGACATTGTCAACTGCGATGATCCTGGGCTGCAGAAACTTTGAGAGAAAAGTCTAAGTTTGGATTCAGATTTTACTTGATCATGCAACCATATACGTGTCCACAGCTGGTCATTATTCACGGCGGTCAAATAAAAAGTCAATTTCGCTAAATTTCAAAGCAAGTCAAAGGGTATACGAAGTCAACTAAATAAAAAGGGTTAAAACTTAGAGTTGAGAAAAGCACTGAACCCAAACATACTCCTCCATGGATTTTCTTGGAAACATATGTTAGTAATTAAACACCTCTAAATGCAGGCATTATGGCCAACCGAAACTGTGTATTAAAGATGTTTGTTATATTTACAGGAACAATGATTAATAGATTATGTTGTTTAAGCCAAAAAAGATCCGTGGGATATTCGTGCAATTTTCGAGCAAGAGATGTTATCCCAAAATCAAATGTATATAATAACACTTTATTTGTAGTACATATAGATAAGACTATACGGTATGTAATTCATAAAGCGGATATCGTTATTTTCCTTGAAGTATGTAAAAAACTTGCAGCATTGTTATTATAGAATCTTTAAAAAATTTATTATCATGCTTTTACATAAATTGTATGACAAATCAGAAAATTAAGCTTGCATTCTAAATTATGGCAATTTGAATTACAAAATTTTTAAAGAAATACTGTTAATTGTTGAACTTTATAACTACTCCAATATTCGTTACCCGAAAAAAAAAAAAAAAAAAACTAAGACGTTGTGACGAGCATAATCGATTGTGTGTATGCCTTGGAGTCTCGTGTCTACCCCCACATTAACTTGGGTTCGATTCCAAGGTCCAGGGTCCAAGCTTGGGTTCTCAAGCCCTAATTCGAGCTGGTCCTCGAGGTTCTAAGTTTGAGTGCAGGGACTGAGGTTTGCCGTCGGTTCGTGAGTTTGGCCTTGGAGGGTCCCATGATAAAATGCTGTGCTTCGGGTCTTTGAATCTGAGACGTACAGTTGAGATTTATAGTCTAATATCATGATAATAAATAACGATACACGATCGTATGTTTTGGAAATTAAATAACTATTTGTTGTTGCGATGATACTTTCGTACTAATATTTTTTTTTTCTCGTGACGGTGGAAATATGAAAACCAGAAATCAATTGGACATACTGAAATTTGTCGTGTGTGAACAATTAATTGTGCATGATCACGTCATTCTCGGACTTAGTGGACATGGTACAAAAAACGAGTACGTCAAGGACGCGACATTTGTTCCATGACCGACCAATTCAAGTTCTGATTAACGCTGCCTCTTCCTCTTCGTTTTCCATTCCCTCACTGTTTAACCAGTGAAGTCAAATCCAAATTTCTTCTCCAACTGTGGCAGTCAAATATTCAAAAACCCGTGTCCAACAATTTAAACAGAAGAATCTAAGAAATACTCGGAACTAGGGAAAAATGTCAAAAAAGTCATAAATCTTTTGTATTGATGTCAATTCAGTTCTAAATCTTTTTTTGGTGCCAATTTAGTCCTAAACCTTTTGCATTAATGCCAATTTAGTCCGAAACCTTTTTTTTGTACCAATTCAGTCATAAACCTTTTGCATTGATGCCAATTTAGTTTGAAACCTTTTTTTATGCCAATTCAGTCATAAACATTTTGTATTTGTGCCAATTTAGTCCTAAATATTTTGTCTTTGTGCCAATTCAGTCCTTTCGGCCAATTTTAGTCAGATTTTGCTAATGTGGACGCCGGCTAGCTGGCAGCCGATCACCGGCGCTGACGTGGACAACTTTAATAATATTTTAATGTTTTTTGAATTATTTATTTATTATTATTATTTTCATTTCTTTTTTTTTCCCTCCCCTCCCTCCTTCCTCCAGCCGGACCGGCGACCGGCCAGAGGCCAGAGATCCGGTGAGGTCGTGCCTCGCTCAGTCGCCGGTGAGGCTTGACCTCGCTAGATTCGGCGAG